AGCATCAGTAGGGACAAATCAAATCACAATTCGATACGTTAACGGGTACACTGTTTTCTTTAATCTGAAATAAATTATGGAACCATAAATGTTATGGTAAGATGAGCCGGATGGCTGAAATTGGATTCAGTGCGTCGAGTCGCCACTTTACAAATCGATCTACAGCCCCGTTATGGATGCAATGCGTAAATGCTGTTAGGGCGAGACCCAATGGCGAGACCTAAACAATATTGAAGCCGTCGCACAGCTCTATCAATGAATTCAGGCCCAGGTCATTATTTCACCCAGTCTCCTGACTGACACATCCTGACCGACTGTTACATTATAAGACACTGGAGGGTTCACGTTACTTGTACCTAAGCCTTCGGCAGGTGCCCTAAAATTTTAAGTTGTTGCAGTGGTTTCTTCGGTGGTTTTATATATCACTAACATCCTTACTAATAATATTATAAATCGGAAAGTAAGTTTGTTTGTTTGTTCCGCTTTCACGCCGTAACTCCTAAACCGATTGCTTTGAAATTTTGCAGACGTAAAGTTAGAAGACCGGACTAAATAATTGAGTACTTTTTATCCTGGAAAAAATGATATTCCCGAGCGATAACAAAAACATTGGTTTTTCTTTTTAGACCATTGTAATTTGCATTATCTGATCAAATTCGATCACAGAAGACTATAATTATGTAGGTAATATTAGGTACTTTTTAGGGAACAGAGAGTACCTATAGTTCCCTAATATCGGATTTTTTAATGGGTGGTATTTAATACTTTAACTGTAAATTCCCTTTTTTCAATAAAAATATTCGAAATTACCACCAAAAATACTGAATTGCACACTAAACCTGCTCATCAAATAAATCAATTATACTATCTAATAATTCGTAACCTAACCTATTTTGTAATTTAGAGTCGTGGAGAACCTAACGGGTAACCGGGGCTCCGGCTCGACGTGCAGGAGAAGGAACGGGGTGGTGTTTAGTCAGTAAGAGTCTGACACTCCCTCCCGCCTCACCCAGGCGGGAGCGGGATTCGATGATTTTCCCCGCTTAAAAAAACATATTTTGGAAATTTCGTTGTAATTTTGAACAATTTGTGTGCAAATCAGAATTTTTGTTTTACGATGTAATGTTAATGATAATTTTGTAATATGTAGTTAATTTGTAGTACAGTCATTTTTCTGATATGCAGTAGGTTATTAGTGGAGAATTTTGGTATGCTTAAATTTCTAAATAGAGGTGCAGTAAATAATTCCCCTTTTTTAATTTATACTTATTGTTCGAAGTAATGTTACAGAGATTAAAATCAAACACAGAACAATTGTTAACTGGTCCTTATCAAAGTTCCTAAAAAAACTTCGACTTCGTGACCTACATTCCCATGTACCTTGGTATCTTCCAGACAAAACAAATTATCAATTACATAATAGTTACACATACGTAGTCTAATAAATAATTTATTAAACACAGTGCCAAATTGACGTTGATATATCGTAGTGGAATTTAATTCATGTATGAGCTAAATTAAAATTCCGCGTGCAATCTATGGACCACACACTGACACACACAATCAATACATAGTATAAAACAAAGTCGCTTTCGCTGTATGTCCGTATGTATGCTTAGATCTTTAAAACTACGCAACGGATTTTGATGCGGTTTTTTTTAATAGATAGAGTGATTCTTAAGGAAGGTTTGTATGTATAATACATGCATATTGCACCCGTGCGAAGCCGGGGCGGGTGGCTAGTGATAGATAAATCTATTATACAAAACTAATTATGATGTATGAATTTTATATTAATATGTTAACTAGTCGCTAAAATGAAATGACATGATGAAACAATATTTATTTCTTTAAATAGGTTACAAAGTAAAACTTTTACACGTCAATCTTTAAATTATTGCCTCGTTGGCCAAGTGGTCGCAATTGCGACTGCCGAGCAAGGGGTCTATTCGATTCCCGGGTCGGGCAAAGTATTACTGGGCTTTTTCAAAAAATCTCAGTAGTAACACGGAGTCTGGAAATGTGCCCGGTAAGTATATAGTAATAGGCTCATCGCCTATTACATGGGACTCATAACATAAATAGTGAAAAGTGGGTATTACATTGTGCACTGACATTGTGCCGTAATGGACACCTCTGCCTACCCCTTCGAGGATAAAAGGTGTGATGATATGTTATGTCTTTAAATTACTAGATGAGGGCTGTACCTAACTGACTATTCTATACCTACCTATACTCGGCAAGTGCGTACCCGCATAGCGGAGGTGCTCGATGCTGAGCCCGTCATGACCAGGAGACTTGCCCCTTGACATGCCTTTTACAATCTGAGCAATGTCTTTTGAATAATTTAAACAAGGACGTTTTACAATTCGCTATATTGGTCCAATACGTTGGCCCAATGTATAAACAGGAACATTATACAATTCACTATATTGGCCCAATAAGTTAGCCCAATGTGTAGAGCCACCGCTATAGAGGGTCATAGTTCATCAGTAGACATTGGCCGTTGATAAGTCTTGGAACGCACCTCAACTTGGCTTCAAGCAAAAATTCTTTAAACCCATTATCTAAAATAGGCAAGCAAAGATATATCAGTATCGTGACGCAACGTGTAACAATGCTTTACATTACAATCACTTATCAGACGCAGAAACAATCAGGTAAACCTGATTGTACCGCAAAACCACATTCCTGATAAAAAAACTGATTAGCGACAAACATTAAGTGCAATGATTTAGAACTACTCTATTTTCAAACGTTACAAATTTCAATTCAAACAATAATACACCGTAAAACTTTAGCAGTAACGCTCATATTCGCCAATTTTTTTTTACAAGACTCAATGAAAGATGTACCGTCTGCAAAGAGTTAGATAAAAAAAAACAAATGACAGTGCATGACTGTTGAAATTGCAAAATGGTATCTATTAGTTGATGGCATAGAGATTATTATCAATTATGTTGAGTGATCAGCTGATAGGTGGCTCAAGAAATGTAAATCCGAGATTAGGGAAACACGTGCTGGGAAGGACTCGTGGTGATCTGATATTGTATCTATGTAGATATTAAGTAATTCGTCTGCTCATGTTTAGC